GGAGTAGCGCTACTGATCTAAATATGTTAGAAATTGAAGCTTCTTATTAATTTATATTCCATATTTTATGAACTTGTACCTTATATAGCCCATTTAAGTTTATCTTTACTTAGTTTGTTTAATTTTCAACTTTAAAATATTATATATGTATATATATTTAAATTTTCAGTTCCTGTTGTGATGATAAAGGCACGTCAACTTATATGGGATCTTGCTATGTAAAGTTGGTTTGGCATTTATAACAAAGGTTAGGCTAAAATTTTTTTTTTCCATTGTGTTATAAAGCTCGTTAAGTAACTCCCATTTATTTCAGCTCAAGTTTGCAACTTACAAAATTAAATATTTTTTTTACTTACGAAACAAGTTTGAGTTATAAATTATCACCTTTTTTGAATTCACTAATCATATTCCCAATGCAATAGCTTTCAATGTGGAATATTCTGCAGGCTAATGCTCTATTGCAGCGGTTCCCAAACATTTTGACTCCCACTCCAAGGGCCCTTTTATTATCACTTTCTTTTGTTGCATAAGTTATTGGTGTTTAGTAGTGTTAGGAGCAAAGTATTGGCAGCAACCCCTTCAAAGTGCTTGCGGAGCCTGCAAGCCTTAGAACAGTGGTTCTCAACCAGTAGGTTGCGACCCCTTTTGGGTTAGAGCAACCCTTGCACAAGAATCGCTTAAGTCCATCGGGAAACACATATTTAAATTTATGAAGTAGCATTGAACATCATTTAAAATTGGGAGTCACCACAGCACAACATACTGTATTAAGGGTCGCATCATTAAGACGGTTGAGAACTACTTCCTTAAAAGGTTGTAAGCTATTACTCTTGTGAAATTTTAATAAATAAACTATTTTATTTATACATAAACATGACTGAACAGCAATGTGGCCTGTTGTGTTATTATCTGTTTTTTTTTTTCTTTCTATTTTAGTTTCATTTTCAAAGCGCAGTTATGCCAGTATTGTTCAGACAAGTTGAGATAGCAGTATTATAAAGAAAAGTTGAGATGACAGTAGCCTTTATTGGACAAACAAGTTGAGATGCCAGTATTGGAGATACACAAAAATTCCCCAAAGAAGTTACAAGTTCCGGAGTCCTATCACTGACCAAGACTTGGGCTGAATTTCATTTTTCAATCTGTAAATGCGAATAAATTTTGTAACTTGCTTGAAAACAATTCTTATAACACAAAAATTCCCCAAAGAAGTTACAAGTTCCGGAGTCCTATCACTGACCAAGACTTGGGCTGAATTTCATTTTTCAATCTGTAAATGCGAATAAATTTTGTAACTTGCTTGAAAACAATTCTTATTTTATTGTACATTTTCACTGTATTTTTTGTTTAAACCTACTTCATGGATTTAATGGCATAATATCAGAACTGAGAGCTGTATTGAGGACTAGTTGGGATTTACATTATACTATCGTAAAAGCGTGTTGGCGAGGTGGCCAAACCAGTGAACTCACGCAGTCCTATGGCCAACAAAAGCGTGTTGGCAAGGTGGCCAAACCAATGAACTAATGTGGGTCCTATAGACAACACAAGTGTGTTAGCTTAGTGGACTAACCAATGATCGGACCCATTTTCTATGCCCAACACAAGCTTAGTGGCATAACCAACGATCTGAAGAAGGTCTCATGTCCAATACAAACACATTGTCTAAGTGGGCTTGCTAGTGATCTGATACAGGTCTTATGCCCAGAACAAGCATGTTGGCTTTGTGGCCTAACCTTTGATCAAACGCAGACCATAGGTCGAGTCACGCCATATCCAAGAAGGATCTTCTATTTCGTCTTGCAAGATGGGGGCATAGATAGACTGTCAAGATTGTTTTCTTTATTTAAATGTATTGACATTATGACATGCTGCAAGAGTTAAAAGAGACGCAAAATACTTGATCTGACTCGGGTGGCATTAAGTCTAGCTGA